CTGCGAACAGCGGTGCATGGGTCTGATGTACAGGGAGACCTGCACAGGTGACTCTCCCTAAACACACACTTTCAGGTTTGTGGGGTAAAGGCTTAAACCTGCCAGCAGTAAAAGGAGCTGCTCACTTTGCAACAGGACTGTTACCAATAAATCACTGCAGGCCTACCCAGTTTTCTCCAGTAGCAAGAGCTCTGTAATCAAGGCGTGAGTTAAAATCCATATGGTGCAAATATACACAGAAGTTGCTGGCACTCAGACCTGAGCAGAAGGCTCAAGACTTGAGATTTGTTTTTAATGAGAAATGGTGCTTTTCCAGTCTTTTCCTTATGGGTACACCAAGCATCAGCAAACAGGCAAAGAGGAGATGGCTCCATCTGCCAGTGCTGACCAGAAGTAAAGCCTCTGGGATCAATGCAGCTATGCCAGGGCAAAGCTGCAATCCCTTTTCCATACAAACATCCTTCTCCCTGCCAGAGGATACTCATTTCCTTTCTACCATTGGATCAGAAGTATGTTAAAAAAAAATAAATAAAAAAAAAGGAGGATGTTAGACAATCCTCTTATTTTAAGAATTAAAAAACAATTATTCCTTAAAAGAAAAAGGATAAAATCTGTTTCCTGGGATTTATTTCTGGGTCAGAAGCACCCCTGGTCATCAGGCAGTTAAACTGGGCATAAAGCCATTTTGCTGCTGGCTGCCCCTGCTATGGGACTCCACTGGACAGGGGGCTTCAGGACACAGCGCAGGCAGTGGCTTAAGCACGGGCTTTAGTTTTATAGAGCTCAAGGAGACCCAAGGCAAGGCACACACCCCAAACCTGTTCCAACCAAGCACGCTTCCCTGAATCACAGCCCCAGAGCTTCCAACTCAAACGGGACCACTCTGCGAGTTTCCCTGCTCCTGTGTAATTCCCATGTAAGATGGGAGGGAGCCAGTTAAGTGTAGATATGTAGTCCTTTTCCAATGCTTAATACTTTTAGCTTCACTGTAATTACATCCTGCAGATAAAAATGGTGCTGAAGGTCAAGCAAATCCTCCAGGAGAATATACTCTGCATGGAAACTGTGTTTTTTTTAACTGGAAAGGTTGTATAAACACTGCAGATTGAGAACCTATAATTATCCATTAAAATCATTCTGAGTCTACTGAATTCATATTTGTCCATGTTCAACCTCTAGTCTCCTATTTATAATGTTTACATGTGCCCAAATATCAGCTCAGGCAAGAGACAACTGATCAGAAATATGTTTTTCCTGGACCGTTTCTATGGCATTAGAGGCTGATGCTCTGTGGAGGACCAGCTCCAGGGCTGGGGGGCTGGGCTGGGCTAATGCTGTCCTGCAGCCGATGACCCATTTACCTGCCTCCAAAGGCAGGATTTACTCCTCTGTGGCCTTTGCAGACGTGTCCCTGCATTGCTCCCCAACACGGCAGGGCTGCAGCATCTTGGCCATGGGAACCCCCTGCCCGGGAAAGGCTTTTGCACCCCACCAGGGGCTCAGCTCTTCCATCTGCAGCAGCCCTGATGGCTATTGCCCAAGCCTCATCCCACTGGGTGCAATCTCCGAATCTGCCTGGGAATGGAAAGGCAGCCCTTGCAGGAGCACACAGGGATTTGTAAAGGGAGGATTGGCGGATTTTGCTCTGGAAATACTCCCCCAGGAGCAATGAGCAGTGAGACCACCAAGTGCTGCCACCGACACTCTTGCCCAGGAGGGAGTAGCAGTTACCCACCAAAAGCCCCAGCCTCGCTCCTCTCCAGCCTTTCCCTGCTCACACACATCTCCCTGCCCTCCCCTGTCCCCTTAAGCAAGCAGAAAGAGGCTCTGACATGATCCTTTGCTCTCCTGTTGTCCCCTGGAGGTTGTGTGCACCGGAAAGGAACAGATGCTCTCTTAAAACAGTGGCTGGCACGGCGGTGTCACCATGGGTGTGAACACAGAGGGCCACACCATCACCGGGCCCACCGCGGGGGTTTGCTCTCCTGGCAAACATGCCTGATTAGGGAGAGGTACCTGCAACCAGGAGAGCCAGGACTGGTTCCTGCATGGCAAACCAGGGATGGCATCGCTGCCAGCAGCAGCCTCTGTGCTCTCCCCAAATCCTCCCCATCCTCATTTATCAGTCATCCAGGCTACGAAACTGCAGCAACTGTACCACAGCTTTTCTCGCTAGGGCCAGCAAAGCCATCATGGGGTTCAGGACAGACCCCCAGCAGCACACAGCACCCCAGCCCCAGGGTCGGGGTAAAGCATCACAAGACCCAACCCATCACCCTGCTCTCCGTTGGCCACCTCCAGACCTGAGGTGAGTTACATCTGTCTGTCTGTCCCTTCTCTGCAGCTGTGGTGAACAAGAGCCACAAGAACTGGGGGTCACTGGCACCAGCACCCCCTTGGACACAGTCCCAGAGGAGCAGATCTCAGGTCACCCATTTGGCCAATGTTCACAAGAGCCACCAAGCCAGAAGAGGCTGCCAGGAGCTATATATATCTTGCCTGAATTTGAACTGCCCACGAACCTCCACCACAAATATTTGGAGGAAGAGGAGGGGATAAAAGAAATGAAAACATCAAAAAAAAATTGTCTCAGCAGTGAGAAAAACTATCAAGCAACCGACGGCAATTGAAAAATTAGGTACTTCGAAAGCTGGTAACTTTATAAATGATGTGGTGTTTCCAGGGCAAGCAGCTCCAGTGCTGCTCGTGCCAACCTCCTTCCCCTAACTGCTGCACTAAAGCCAAAAGCCAGAGGAAAGACATGAGCCCTCCCAGTGACCCCTCCTCGCCCACTAGTTGCACCTCAGCCTCCCCCCAAATACTGACAGTGAGAAAACCCACCAGCATAGACCAGATTCTTCCTCTCCCCCACTAACCTCCACCTCTGAACTTCCCCCTGGGTACAGGTACATCACACTTCAGATATGTTTACATTCACATTGAGGCAGGGAGCTGGATTTTCCTCTCAGATACGTGGATGTAAAGCCAGAGGAGCTCTGCGGGTGTCAAGGGGGTTACACAGGTACCACACTTGCTCCCCCGAGCTTCCACCAGCCACAGCCCAAGGGTGCAGAGCAGACTCCAGTGGGGCAAGGATGGCGGGAGGCTGGGGGGTTTAGCCCAGCAGATACATCACCGTTATTGATGTGCATGGTTTACTCCCTGTGGATGTACTATTTTCTTGGGGGGAAGGGGCTGCTGGACCCTCACCGAGGCTTTCCTGAGCTTTGAAATCATTTGGATCTCAGTAAAGCTCTTTGAGGTGACCCCCTCTCTGCCCTGGCTCAGCTCAGCTCTCCCTAGTGGAACACCCCTGTGATGGAGAACAACTGGCTTTATACTGAAAAAACCCTCATTTTCTATAGGGATTTATCTCCCCCAAATGCAAACTACTGTTGCTAATGACCGCTGGTGTTTGCATGCCAACACCTTGACCACCAGTAAAAACCAAACTATCAAAGGCAAAATCTGTGCAAATACATCTCTGATCCAAGCCAGTTCAGCCATGAAGCCGAAGTTTGGTACCAAAAGTTACTGAGGTGCAGCAGAAACTGTTCCCAGCATCCAAAACATGCCTTGGCATGGATGTAAGGCTTCTCTGATTTAAAGGCATAATTTATACTCAGCTCCTGAATTACTAAAGTCCCGTAGCCCTTTCAGCATGGGTGAAAGCACTCCGCTTCACGTAGCAGTCTCCGAGGGTGGCATTCAGCCATCTGCATGGGAAACGTCTGTTCCTGGTGGATCTGGGCTCCCTTAACAGAGCGGGGAGAGGCAGGCACTGCAGAGAGGAGGGCTGGAGCTCGCTGGGAATCCGTGCCAAAGGAAGGTAGGGTGGAGCTCGGAGTTTTTATAGAGATTATTTGGAAAAAAAAGAACCCAAGCAAAATGGCTCTTCCCCAGGGGAACTCAGGACATTTGCTCCTCTCCAGACACACTGAGGACAGCTGCGTGACTCACGGGCCTGATGCTGGCTGCCCGGTGTGCCTTGGAAATGGGGTTTTGTGCAGGAAAGGGAGGGGACCTGCCAGCCAGTACCTCCTGCAGGACATCGGCAACCGGGCCAGTGCTTCGGACCACACAAAGCCACAGCACCCCCAGCTAATACCTTCCAAGGTCGTTCCCATCTCTGTTGAGAGCATGAGCTCTACTTCACACTTCACTCTCACTTCAGCCTCTGGTTATGGGGACTGTCTTTCCTGTCCACAACAGGAGACTCACAAATCCCTCTGCACTGCAAACAGGCCTGGACCAAATGATTTCAGCCTCCCATGGCCACAGGTTCTCCACCCCCTGATCCCTTGATTTTTCCCCAGCAAACCCAGGGCAGCAATTTGAAGGCAGCCAGAAAAACTCCTTTAAGTCAAAGCAAAGAGCGTCCCCACCTCCCCCCCCCATCCCACCACTGCAGCTGGAGGGGTGATGCTGGCCCAACGCCCCTGTCACAGCCACTGCTCCATCACCCCACAGGTCACTCCGCCCTGAAACAATTTTGGTCAGACATTTCCCAAAACCTTTGGGAAAGAAGGTGTTGGCTTGGCTTGGGCAAACCAAGCGGATCAGGCAGAGCTCAGAGGATGAGCAGGCATCCCCTGGGAGCTCTGCCAGGCTATGTGCCCCCCCTCTCCGAGGGAAGCAGGAAAGGCACGGCAGCTCCGAGTAGGGAGCATGGCCTCCCGCCACAGCGCGTCACCCCCGGCTGAGTCCTGGGACTGTCTCTT